TCAATACCTATTTTATTCTTCCGTACTTCTTGGAGTTAGATTTATGGTTTTTTTCTGTGTATAATGCTGAGCTGACAAGGGTTTTGAATTGGAAGCAAGAAAGCCTCGTGTTACTTGGGTTGTATTATTAAAATTGAAATGGTGAGCCCAGTACATTTTTTTCAGTATATTTGATGTTAGAAGTCATTGACATCAGCACGTATTCATTGTGGTCAGAGGCTTTGAAGACTTTCATGTTGCCAGGATTTTGTTATTTATTTTATGAAAGTGGCCCCACAGGCACCAACTTCTACAGTAGAGTCAAATCTGACTCTGGGGATTGAGTTGTAAAATGAGTGCATAACGTAAAAGTTAAGTGTATTAAAAAATTTCCATTAAAAATACTGTAATTCACCCCCAAAGTACAGTACTCAATTGTACACTCGAGTTCAGCAAGTCAGGAGTCTCCTGGCATTGAGCACACAGCTCCTAGCAGTTACTTAAGCAGAACTAGCCACACATGCAGACCAGTCAATCAAGTCCCTGCATCCACGTGAATTATGTTCCCGTGAGGAGGCAGAGAATAATTACAGGAGCAAGTAAATAAAATTACATCGATGGTTTTCTGCACAGCGGAGACAAAGGAGGCGAAGGGGAGAGGCAGAGAACTGGGTGTGCATCATGAAGCTCACAGGCATGTGCAAACACGGTGTCTGCCAGCGGCGGAGCATCTGAAACCTGAACTACAGAAACAGATGTTAAAGTGGCATGGTAAGTTTCTGAAGAGTGTCTATATTATGAAAGAGCCTGGCTCAGAATTACAGTATGATAAGTTATGAGGTTATAATACATGTCCGAGAACTGAAAGTCTAAAAGAAGGCTAAATGTATGTGAAAGTGAATGCATTCAATAGAAAATCTCATAATTAAAGACTTTCCTTAACTTTAAAAGTGAAGCCCAGATGAGATTGAGTACATTCTGTGGAGAAGCTTTAACCGACAGGGGAAAATATCCAACCAGGTTAACATTTGGTTAGAGCGCTTCCACTTGTATCTTGCTTACAGTAGATGTTCTTGATTTAGTGCTTTCCTGTGGGGTCTCCCCACAGCACCTCGCATTATATGAGGCTCTGGTTCTTTACTTGTCCAGAAAAATCCTCCTCTAGCCTAGCAGCTGCCCAATTAGACAGCAGGGGAAGGGGGACTGGAATTTTGTAGGCAGTCCACAAATTTATGCACATGAAAGTGCCTGGCCCTTAATAGATGATTAAAATTGTTTCCTTTTTTAAAAATAAAGTCCTTCAGGGCCTCCTCATAAATCAGAATAGAAAACATCTAGTATTAATATAAATCTATGTGTATACAATCATTAGTATCTTGTAATTGAGATATATTAGACATATATTAGCTTCTGGTGTACAACATACACCATTCAATACACCATTAGTACTTAAATAAATATAGTAATTATTCTATTCAATGTCCTTCAGGTTTCTGTCAACCTCCTAAAATCTACTGTTTTAAATGTTTGAATGTAAACACGGCCTGCTAAACATTGAGTTAGCTGATTCTCTCCTGACATCTAGTGTTCCTCATTCATTACTGCAAAGTAACTTCATTTCAAACCACAATTAGAATGAAAAATATATGGAATAAAAACTTAATTCATCTTAGAAAGTGGAATAAAATTATAAGCTAAATAATAACAAAGCTTGTTTCTAAGGAGCAAAAGACCCTTTTCTGATCATTCTTCCCATCTGAGCAGTGATATATTTTCTTGGTGTTCTGATAGGTCACACAGCACGTACATCAGGCCACTCCATTGTTGCGGAGGAGGGAGGGGATATGAGGAGAGGGGCACTCGCCAAGGGCATACTATATGCCAACCTCTGGGCCTGAATTCTTTAATGTGACTTATCACTGTGCTTTTAGAAGCTACAGAACCATCCTAACCCCATCCCAAACATGGAAACTCAGCCTGACAAGGTATTGAGATTTCCCTGCTGTGGTGTGGAAATGGACACAGCCCACAGCCCTTCATAAAACATCTTCTGCCAGACCAGCCACATACACTTGTGGGTACTCAGAAATACCTGGCTAAGCCCTGGCTGGTGTGGTTCAGTGGACTGAGTGCCAGTCTGCAAACTGAAGGGTTACTGGTTTGACTCCTGGTCAGGGTACAAGCCTTGGCTGAAGTCCGAGTCCCCATTTGGGGGCATGTGAGAGGCAACTAATCTATGTTTCTCTCGTACATCAACGTTTCTCTCCCTCTTTTTCCCTCCCTTCCCCTCTCTCTAGAAATAAAATAAATAAAATATTTAAAAATAAGTAAATAGCACTGGCTGGTGTTGTCTCAGTGAATTGAGTGCTGGCCTGTGAACGAAAGGGTCACCGGTTCGATTCCCAGTCAGGGCACATGCCTGGGTTGCAGGCCAGGTCCCCAGTAAAGAGTGCAAGAGACAGCCACACGTTGCTGTCTCTCTCGCCTTTCTTCCTCTCTTCCTCTCTCTAAAAATAAATCTTTTAAAAAGATTTTTAAATAAGTGAAAAAGAAGCATTTGGCTAAATAGAAATCGGTTACAACTAACATTCCCATTCCATCTGAGATGTTCCACATAGGTAAGAGAAAAGGCAATGCTAAAGGGAAGAACTTGGCAATTGTTCTCCAAAACCCCTTAGACAAGAAGCCAGCTGTAGGCTGGGAAGGATTCACATTAGCTGTCTCTGCCGTGTAGAAGGGCGCCCCACCCTGACCCAGCCCTTCTTCCTCTTGTTCTTTCTGCCTGTTCCTTCTCCTAATCCCCATATTCCCTCCACTGCACCGTCTCCCGGCCTCTGCTCCTGTTCCGCTGACAAAGTCCGCTCCCTGACACTCAGCACGGCCTGCTGGCCAGCGGCATCAGCACCACCTGGGAGCTGGTTACACGTGCAGATCTCAGGCCCCACCAAGACCTGCTGAATCGGAACCTGTATTTTAACAAGATCCCAGGTAATTCCTATGCACGTAAGTTGTTAAAGTGCCACTCTCGACCAGAAGCGGGAGCAAGTCAGTTTCAACTAACAAACCACCTCCAGTTAACAGGACTAGGTGACTGGAGCCATGAACTGTCTCAGTGCAAGAGTCCTGGGGCTGTAAGGGACATCTTCTATGAGCACGGTATACAGTGTGGCACCCATACTTTGTATTTGGAAACATACCTCCAGTTTCCTTCTCTAAGCAGCAGCTGTCACTGGGTCCCTACTGAGCTAGGCAGCGTACCACCCTATGACTCAGGCAAGTGGGGCACTGTGAGGTCCTTTCTAGTGCCTGGGACTGGGAAGGGCCAGTAGTGCAAATGTGTTAGGTACACCGTGCCTGGACCTGGTCCTGTGTGGGTCCTGGTCACAAGAGGCACCTGCCTTCAATATTTCTTTAGCGCCCTATAGCGGTGACACGCCAACCGTGGCAGAGCCATGGCACTCTGGGCCTAGCCAGACCGGCATGGGCCCTGATTCCCATGTCTCGCCTTCAAGGTCAACAAGATGCCCTGAGCAGTTCTGGGATTCATGCCTAAGGGATTGCGCCAGGTCCTGTGGCCAGACTGTAGCTCCAGAAAAGCCTCCTGGCAAACACAGTATTTCTCCCACAGGACTACATGAGATCGGGCATCCACAATGGTGTTGATGTGCTGATTTCCAGTGACTTTCATGAGGGACACAGTCAAGTTCAGGAATCTGGGCTACTGGAGATCTGGGCCAACATGAGCCCACATGGTGGCCCTTACTCAATTCCCAATTGCAGTGTCACCTCTGGTTTACAGCACACAAAGGCAGGGGCGTGTCTATATCTTTTAGCCTCCATGCCTCCAGCCACTAGCACCCAAGGAAGTCACTCCTCTCCTTCCACAGGCTCCACACGATGTGTGAGGCAGTCTCTCCAGGGGTGGCCGTCACCACCTCCTAGGGCTCAGGAACATAAGCAAGCACTTCCGGTCCATGCCGTCTCTTGTCTCCATTGATGTAGCATGTCGGGCTGCCTTGGGTCAGTTTTAACTGGAGGAGGGAGAGAGGGGCAGACGTTCCTTGTCTGAATGGGACTGCTCATCTCACTTGCCCTCAGGCCTCTTGTGCAGCCTTCCTGCAGGCGGTGGTGTGAGGAAAAGAGGGGTGTTGCCAACTCGAAAAGAGATTCCATTCTTGGGAGTAAAGTGATTCCAGAGTAAAGACTTCAAAAATATACACGGTTGGAAAAATGGAAAAGTTACCATGAATAAGAAACAAATGATGGTTCACATTTTCTTGCATTTGTGGTCATCACCAAAGAAGCACAGTGAGAACCTTTGGGAGCAATTAGGAACTGGTCTTCCTGGGCAGAAGGATGGATAACATAGCATCATGAGTGATGATATAGTCAGTACTATTCATTATTAGGGAACTTCAGAGATAAGCAGATCGATAACATCTCAAAACAGTATGAGTAATAGTGCCATTACCTTCTAGTGGGGAGAGACATGAAACTAGCCAGAAATGGTACATTTGACAATAAGATTTAACAAAGAATCATCATGCTTATGGACAAAAATTAAATGCACCACACTTTTACCCAAGTCCATTTTAGTTAAATGGGTTAATCCCTTTCGATGTCTATGTTCTGCCCACCTTACTGACCAAAGTTTATGGTTTATCTCAGTGTCTTTAGAGTATTCTTGTTACCTTTCTGTACATAAAACATTCCCAATCTCCTCCAACCTCCTGCCCAGTCACTCCCTCTGTTGCGTATGCTTCCACCTCCCCAGCAGCTGCTGTAGGCCCAAGAACAGGTGCAAAAACACTGTCTATCAGAGAGGGGGACAAAAATCCTCTCTCTTTCAACTGCTTGGCTATTCCCAGGAAACTCCTAAATTTCAGAATTTTTGAGAGTATATGGAATAGTGAGCAGTGAGACAGAGAAGCACAGATTGACACATTTATTAAAATGTACCCAAATACATGTGTGACAGATTTCAAATTATTTTCCATGGGAAAAAAGTTCATTGGCAGTTAGTCACAAGTACTTACTGAGGGCCCACTGTGCCGGACATTATGGGAGATAAAAACATTCAAGACAAAGATGCTGCTTCACTGTGGAGCTAAAACAGCAAAAAGGGAAATATACGTGTATGTATACACACACACACAACACACACACCACAGTGAATACTCCCGAGACTCAAAGGAGACAGATACCACAGTGAACTATGGGTAGGGTTTCAAGAGTCTTCAGCAAGAATGGTTTGTCTGGATAGGGGGTGGTATTTTTTTTTCTAGAACCAATCAGAAAAAATAAAATAATTGTATTTTCAATAAATTTATTTTTTTCTAATGTTGAGATAAAAAGCCTTTACATGAAATACACAGATTATTTATCTGTCTCACTGATTAATTATCAAATGTGATATAGTCGAATATACCGAATGAAGATTCAGAGCCAGTCCCATGATAGAAAAGAAATCTCTGTGGCTTTCTATAATTACCATGAGTATCATGTTAGTAAAACAATTTCAAAATTGTTTTTATTCAAAATTTTTGTTAATATATGGAAAGCTTTCAATTAAACACATAAATTTGTTGAAATGAAGAAATATTTGCACTGTAAACTGGATGGAACTGATAAATCAGTGCTTCTTTCTCTTCAACATCAGATTTAAAATGATGACTGTTTTTCCGAGCTACAAGAAAAAGAAAACGTGAATCTTTTAAAAGGTAGTTATATGAGAAGAGACCCCCCCATAAAAGCAAAACAGATTATCTTCCGGAGGGCACCCCCTTTATAGTACCAGCTTCCCCCTCTGAGTGTTCTAGGAACTCATCTGTATCACTGTACCAGCTGGCCTTGTTGTAAGAGGCTATGTTCAGCTTCACTGAATTTTTTCGGAAGACCTCAAAGGTTTACCCATTTCATGATGGGTGATTTACAAGAACACCTGCCCACACTATACTGACTGTTTGGCAGTTTTTGAACAAAAATGGCATGACCCTCATGCCCCACCCTATCTATTCACCCGATCTCACCCCGACTTTTTTTTTGTTTCTCCAGATGAAAAAAGTCCTCAAAGGAAATGTTTTGCCAATGTGGAAGAGGTGAAACAAAAAATGGCAGAAGCACTAAAAGGCATCAAAATCAACAAGTCCAAAAACTGTTTTGAGCAGTGGAAAAAACATCTCAATGCAACATTTCAAGTTGCATCAAAGGGAGAGTGCTTTGAGGGTGACTGAAGTTTAAACATGTAAGAATAAATACATAATGTTTTACAAATAAGTTCCCGTTTTGGGGGGGGGGCCTTATAATTAAAAAAAAAAAACTACTTTTAACATCTTATCCTATCGTTGGCATTAAGTGGGAAAATGCCAACCAAAAGGAGACATGTCTCACAGAACTTCCCCCAAATAAAGCAGCACCTGAGGTAGAGTGGTCACCTGCTGGCATCGCAGACACATCTGCTCCGCCCCAGATCTGATGGGGTGCTGTTCACGCCCCACTCACTTACTAAGTGCCTGCTGTATATAAGATCTGAGGCACAGCCTGAGGACGGAGATAACGCCTATGAACAGGGCAAGGTTCTAATTCTCAAGTCTAGTCCACTTACCACACAGAATCGTAGCTAGGAATGCTTTTATAGTCTATTTTTGTTGAGATGCTTCAAGAGTAAAGAGGATGGAGAAGCTGACACAACTGAGGCAGATGGAGAAGTGAGGCAATTCCCACAGATCAGGCAGAAATAGGAAAAGCACAGCGGCACGGAGAAGTGGACATGGGTCAAGTTTGGATGTAAGAAGGCAAAGGCTCCGCTTTTACCCTAAGGTCAAGATAGAGTAACTAGAGTCTTTTATGGCATGTTTAAAAAGAAGGATATTGGAAAATAAAGGCCAGATAATAGCCCTGCCAAGGGATAATACTGCAGCAAACTGCTCTACCCTGCTCTCGTTTACTCGAACACGCACAGCATGAAAATAATTCTTGGGGCTAAACCTGTACATGGGTGAACTCTTCTTTTTTTTCATTTGGGGTCTCAACAAGAGTGAACTCAGGAAAAAGCATTGTACTTTACTTGCCAGTGCGGCAGGAGAGTTGCTAAAAACTTAAGCCAAGCTTAGAGATAGATGTCAACAAGGCTCGCTCACATTTTCAACGCCATGCCTTGCCAGAGTGAGGCAACTAAATTCTCCATTTAACCCACAAACAGCATTAAAATGTGTTTTCATCATGAAAAAACAAGCAAAGCTTATTAACTTTTTCCAGTGCGCCAATGCTGACAGCTAGACCACCTTAAAATCACAGAAGGATGAACATACACTCAATTTATATAACTGCCTTGAAAAAAATAGTATCTAATTCTCAGAGAATGTTATAATTAAAGCATTATTTCTAAAAAAGAAGACTAGTTGGAAAGATTCTTAAGGAAAAAGTACTCAAGAAAGAAAGAAAAAAATCAACATTCTTTATGCTATTGTTGAGAAATTCAGCCCACTTTAAAGCATACAATACTGTTAATTGAAATCAATGTCCTGGTTTTATCTGAATGCCAAATAGCTCAATTTCAGGGCTTTCACATGATTTTTTTTTAAGTTAAAAACAGCATTTACAGAGCAAGAGTATATAAAAGTTTAGATGAAAGCATTTCCTTCAAAACATCACTAATAAAGTGGTAAGAATATATACCCACATATTACCTTCAGAAACAAAGAACTCTGCAAAATGAAATGCAGCCTTCACAGCATTAGGTGCGTGGGAAAGGCCCTCTAATTCCTTCCACTCATAAGGCGGTTTCTCTGGATGCCACTGGACACCATACACTGGATACTTGTATCCTGCATGAAGAATACAAACTAGCAGGTTATTACGCAGTAAGAATGTCTACAATGTCACTTATGCTTTCTGTCCTATGTAAAACATACTGTAACTCACTACGCCAAAGTAAAATTGTATGCGCTCTCAGACACAAAATAAAGAATTTCAGTTCACAGTCAATGTGAAAATTCACAATACAGTACTTCGCTGATTTTTCACCCTTTTACAACTTGTAGTATAATGCACCTTACTAGATAATCAGGGTAAACGAGTGGTGCCTCTGAGCATATCCTAGTTCAACAGTCAAGGGCACATTTGATGAGTGAGTTTCTCCCATGATGGTTTCTTTCCCCCCTACTTCATACCACATTTTCATCCCCTCCCATAATGATTCATTCATATGAGAATGGACTATAACAGCACTTTTGGTGTCCTTCTATGTAAGCCAGCTCCTCTCAGCCTCAAACTGTGGCTTTCTCTCAGACTGTGGAATAGTTCATGACTTCACGGTGCCAATTTTTAAAATAGGTTTTAAAAGTTTAAATTTGGTGTGAAAGATTTTGGGTGATATAGTTCAATTATTTTTAGAATTCCTAAATATCTTTATGTATAAAAATGATGACTCCCTAGGATTTACTGCAAAAAATAATCTAGAATGCAGAAAAAGTAGATATGAAACAAGAATGGCCACGTAAATGTTGATAGTCACTGCAACCTAAGATAGGTACCTGAGGGGTTCATTATAGTACTGGCTCTATTTTTATATATGTCTTAAAAAGCCCATAATTTTTTAAAAATGAGTACAGATATTTACCATCTGAAAAATGTATATACTGATCTTCACAAATTCCTTTCCTCATTTTAATTGGAAAACAAACCAACCCTTTCTATTATTTTTGCTTTGAGATCATAGCTATGACCACCATGGGGAAATACTTGGAGAAATTAAGAGAATTAGCTGAAGGTACAAGTACCCAGGAGAAAGAGCACTGCCCTCTAACATCCGCAAGTTCTGTCGCTAGAGATTGTGTCACAAGAAGGAAACCGATTTATCCTTGCCTTCTTGGGGTTCACAAGAGAAAAGCACCTACCAGCCAGCAGCTCTGGCCACTCCATCCTACCCCTCTTCCCATCCCTCCTCCTCCTTGTGACTGCACTTTCTCTCCCATCCAGGGCTACATGTGAAGGTATCAGCAGGAGACCCACAGGCAAGACATTTAGAAAATTAATGGTTACACACAATTAACTGGAAGAAGATTATCTAACATATTTCTTTGAGACATAAAATGTATTACTTAGAATAAGAAATGTTTTAAGTAGCAAATTGTAACAAGGATTTATCAGACAGACAGGCAGACAAATGGGTGGACGAATGGCTATAGACATATACTGACACTCAGAAACAGGTGTGAGTCACTCTTCTTTAGTAAACTGCATTACTAAAAGAACAATGCAGGTTCCTGAAAACTGTAAGAATCATGCCCTACCTCACTCATTTAGAACATAAGTGTGAAGAATGAAAAGAAAATATGCAAACAGAGCATCTCAGGTGTTCCCATCAAGCAGGTGTCAGAAAATTCTTCTGATGACAGAATTTCCAAATGAGCTTGGTGCGATGACAGAGCCAGGAGCAGGAGCAACATGGAGCCTGTTACCCTTTCCTGCCAACCCGATGCCCTTTCATTTAAATAATCAGCCATTCAGTCAACATCGATTGAGGTTTATACAAAGTCCTGGAAATACAAATAGTAAGACACAGACCAAGCTCTCAGTAAGCTTTTAGTCTCAGGGGAAAGATGGAACATCAGCAAATAAATGCAAAAAGAGATATTCCTAGGTAGCACAAAGTAGGTAGAAAGGAGGGGTACCGAAAATGTGGAGAGGAAGAGTAATGAGTACAAGCAGCCTCGAGGTGAACCGGACCTGAGTCTTCAAAGACAGCTAAGAGTTCATCGGGAGAAGGGAGGACGGGAGGAAGGGCAGCTTTTCAGAGAGGACCGAACAAAAGGAAAAACACAGGGGAAAGGAACATTGCTATGTGGAGGACCATGTACGAAGCAGGAATACAGACTAGCGCTGCAGGCAGGGAGTCATAACGGAGTAAACGCCCTGGCAAACCTGGGCTTTATCCTCCAAGTGCTGAAAAGCCACTGCGGAGTGTTCCTCAAGCAGCATGATCAGATGGGCAGTTCGGAGGGACCAGCAGCAGGAGCAACTGTGGAACAGTTAGCGAGGAGGCCACTGTGACAATCCAGGTGCAAGGTGGCTGGTGCTGAATTTGGATGGGGAAGACTGAATACAGAGGTCACATACCCAGGAAGAATTTGGGAAGTAGAAGATGGCATGAATTTTCTAGACGTGGAGAACGAGAGCAGAAGTCAAAGACAGCTCCCAGGTTTCTAACTGGGATGATTTGGTGAAGGGCAATGCTATTGATTGAAACAAAAAATAGAGGAGGGGAAACAGGGTTAAAGAGAAGATGATAAACTCAGGTGATAAATCCACTTCAGACTGGATTGACCAACCTTACCCATATGTTGTTTCTAAACCCTGAGGGGTTTGATCTCCCCACACAAGCAATCTTTGAATAACCCAATCTTTGAATAGGCCAGTCTTTGAATAACCCAAGCTACTTCCACTTTATTCCAGGTTATTCAGCTCCAGTACTCTGGCCTCTCAGTAGCACTAACCAGCCTCACCAACTCAAAGGCTGCTTTCCTATTGTTTCTGCAAATTCTCATTCATGGCATGTTGCTTCCTTATTCGTTTGTGATTTTCTGGCCATCAATTGCTCATTTTCCTTAAAACCTAATATGGTAATTCCTTACAGTCTGAGATAAACCTAAGTTCCCCCATAGAGGATTATATATTATTTGCTTCTGCCATGCATGTGGGAGGAGGAGGGTCACTGTCAGCCTGAGAAACAAAATTTTTGAGTTGAGATTTCTCAAACTTCCCAATTAGTACAATGCAGGCCATACTTGAGCCTGTCACTAAGAATGCTTAAGGCTTACTTACCACCCCACTCTCTCAGTGCCAGATTTCTGTGCTGCAGTGGTCATCTTGCTCACCTAACACTCAAGAACTCCTTGGTTCAAAACCTAGCAGAGGCATTTGGTGTTCTTCGCCTTCCAGATTCCAGGAGAAATCACCGCATCATCTCCCTCCAGGCGGTCCCACCTAAACACTCCACTCAACTCTTGGAGGACTGGGCCTAAGTAGTCTTAATTTCTTGCCACTTCACCCATGTACTTAGGGAAATGTTTTTCTGTATGTCAGTTACATCTTTTGTTGTTGTCTAGAGAAGAATCTGTCAAGGTGCTTAACCCACAATATTGCTGGGTGAAAAAGGTGAAGAGTTTAAGAAAAGCTCATAGCCACAGACAACAGTAAAGTGATTACCAGAGCGAAAAGGGGGGTGGGGGGAGGTAGAAGAGGGTACAGGTGGGATGAATGGTGATGGAAGGAGACTTGGCTTTGAGTGGCGAACACATAATACAGTATACAGATGATGTACTAGAGAATTGTACACTTGAAACCTATATAATTTTATTAACCAATGTCATCCCGATAAATTCAATAAAAATAAAAGAATGAGAAGCCACTTTCTTCACTTATTTCTTCATCACTCTCTACTTCTCCTCTTCATCACCCAATACTAGATGACCCAGGTTAAACAACTGCTTTGGAAGATGGAAAAAGACAATTCCTATCTCCAAAACTATCCTTCCATCCTAAGGCCTCAAAGGCAACATGGTTTTAGTCACAAAAAACTGTAATATCAAAATTAATATAAATTTGTGAAAAAAGTGTACATGTAGAGTGATATATACCTTCCATTGTTGAAATAAACTCAATATTGTCTGCAGTATTTGTAGTTAATACACTGAAAAACTCCTTCAATTTTTTATTCATTGTAAAATTCTGGAAGATAAAAATAAAACAAAAATAATTACTCCTTTAATTAATCTAAGTGCATTAATTTCTTTTAAACTTAATTGTATTTTTTACATTACTTTTTAGCTTCCTTATACTACCCCCCCAAAGCAATTACCACACTGTTGTCCATGCCCATGAGTCTTTTTTGCTTTTTGCTCTATCCCTCACTCCCTAACCTCTCCCGCTCCCACTAGCTGTCCTCCTATTCTCCATCTATAAGTCTGTCCCCATTTTCCTTGTAAGTTCAGTTTGTTAATTAGATTCTACATATGAGTGAAATCATATGGTATTTGTCTTCCTCTGACTGGCTTATTTCACTTAGCATAATGTTCTCCAGGTCCATCCATACTATCACAAAGGGTAAAATTTTCTTTTCTATGGCCGAGCAGTACTCCAGTGTGATAATGTCCCATAGTTGTTTTATCCACTCATTTACTTATAAACATTTGGACTGCTTCCACATCTTGGCAGTTGTAAATAACACTGCAATGAACATAGGGGTGCTTAAGTTCTTTCAAATTAGTATTTTGGGTTCCTTCAGATACATTCCCAGAAGTGGGATTGCTGGGTCAAAAGGCAGACCCATTTTTAACTTTTTGAGGTATCTTCATACTGTTTTCCACAGTGGCTGCACCAATTTGCATTCCCACCAACAGTGCAAAAGGCCTGTCTGCCACATCCTCAACAGCATTTGTTGTTTGTTGATTTACTGATGATAGTCATTCTGACAGGCATGAGATGGCATCTCATTGTGGTTTTAATTTGCATTTTTCTGATAATTAGTGACATTGAGCATCTTTTCTTAGGTCTATTGGCCATCTGTATGTCCTCTTTGTAGAACTGTCTGTTCAGGCCCTCTGCGCATTTTTTAACTGGGCTGTTTGGTTTTTTTTGGTGTGAGTTTTGTAAGTACTCTGTAGTTTTGGGATTTTAACCCAAAAATCAGATATTATCAGTGAATATGTTCTCCCATTCTGTGGGTTGTCTTTTTATTTTGCTGATAATTTCATTTGCTATGCAAAATCTTTTCAGTTGGATGTAGTTCCATTTGTTTATATTTTCATTTGCTTCCCTTGCCTGGGGTGATATATCCGATAAAAAATTGCTACAAGCAATTTCTGAGATTTTGCTGCCTATGTTTTCTTCTATGATTTTTATGGTTATAGGTCTAACACTTAAGTCTTTGATAAATTTTGAATTTATTCTTGCGTGTAGTGTAAGAAGGTGGTCTAGTTTCATTTTTCTGCATGTATCTGTCCAATTTTCCCAACACCATTTATTGAATAGACTATCTTTAGCCCATCGTATGTGCTTGTTTCATCTGTCGAATATCAGTTGACTATAAAGTTGTGGACTTATTTATGGGCTCTCTATTCTGTTCCATTTATCTATGTGTCCGTTTTTATGCCACTGCCATACTGTTTTGATTACTATGGCTTTAAAGTACAGTTTGATATGAGGTAGCGGGATTCCTCCATCTTTGTCCTTCTTTCTCAGGATCTCTGTTGCTATGTGGTGGCCTTTTGTGATTCCATGTAAATTTCTGAAATATTTGTCCTAGTTCTGTGAAATACGTCATTGGAATCTTGATATGAATTGCACTGAATCTATAGATTGCTTTGGGTAGTATGGATGTTTTAATGATGTTAATTCTTCCTATCCATGAACACGATATGTGCTTCCACTTAATTGTATCGTCTTCACTTTTTTTCTTCATTGTCTTGTAATTTTCTGAGTACAGGTCGTTTATATATCCTTGGTTTGGTTTATTCGTATTTTATTCTTTTTGAAGCAATTGTGAATGGGATTGTTTTCTTAATTTCCCTGATAGTTCAATATTGGCATATAAATATGCAACTGATTGCTGGATATTAATTTTGTATCCTGCTACTTTGTTGAATTCATTTATCAGTTCTAGTAGTTTCTTGGTGGAATTTTTGGGGTTCTCTATATACAGAATCATGTCATCTGTGAATAAAGACATTTTACCACTTCCTTGACAATTTGGATGACTTTTATTTCTTCTTCTTTTCTGACTGCTATGGCTAGGACTTCCAGTACTACGTTGAGTAAGGTGAAGGCAGACATCCATCTTGTTCCTGAACTTAAGGAGAATGCTTGTAGTTTTTGTCTGCTGAGTATGATGCTGGCAATGGGTTTGTCATATATGGCCTTTATTATGTTTATGTGTGCTCCCTTTATTCCTACTTTGCTGAAAGTTATCTTAAAAGGATGCTGGCTTTATCGAATGATTTTTCTGCATCTATTGATATGATTATGTGGTTTTTATCCTTCATTTCATTTACGTGGTGAACCACACTTACTGATTTGTGAATGTTATGCCAGCCTTGCATTCCCAGAATAAATCCCACTTGATCGTGGTGTATGATCTTCTTGATGCATTGCTGAATTCAGTTTGCTAATAGTTTGATGAGGATTTTAGCATCTATGTTCATCAGAGATACTGGCCTATAATTTTATTTCTTTGTAGTGTCTTTATCTGGTTTGGGAGTAATGATAATGCTGGCCTCATAAAATGAGTTTCGGTGGCCTCCCTCCTCCTAAATTTTATGAAAGTTTGAGAAGCAGAGGTGTTAGTTCTTCTTAGAATGTTTGGTCAAATTCACCTGAGAGGTGATCTGGTTTAGGGCTTTTGTTTGTTTGGAGTTTTTTGAATACTGTTTCAATTTCACTAGGTGTGATCTGTTTGTTCATATTCTCTGATTCTCCCTGATTTAGTTTTGGAGATTATATGTTTTTTGGAATTTATCCATTTCGTCCAGGTTGTCTAGTTTGTTGGCACATAGGTCATATTTTCTTACAATCCTTTGTATTTCTTTCGTGTCAGTTGTTATTTCTATTTCCTTTCTGATTTTATTTATTTGGGTCTTTTCTCTTTTTTTCTTGATGAGTCTGGTTAAAGGTTTGTCAATCTTGCTTATTTTCAAAGAACAAGCTCTTGGACTCACAGGTATTTTGGGGTTTTTTTTAGACTCTATTTCATTTATTTCTCTGATTTATGTATTGCTCTGATCTTTATTATTTCCTTCCTTCTACTCACTTTGGGCATTGTTTGTTGTTCTTTTTCAAGTTCCTTTAAGTGTGAAGTTAGATTGTTCATTTGAAATTTTTCTTGTGTTTTGAGATAGACCTCTAATGCTATGAATTTCCCTCTTAGGATCACTATCCCAGTGTCCCACAGATTTTGGATTGTTGTATCCTCATTTTCACTTGTTTCAAGGTATCTTTTGATTCTTCCTTGATCTCATTGTTGACCCATTCATTGTTTAATAACATGTTATTTAGCTTCCACGCCTTTTTGTGTTTTTCAGTGTTCTTGTGACTGATTTCTAGTTTCATAGCATTGTAGTCAGAGAAGATGCTTGATATGATTTCCATCTTCTTAAATTTACTGAGACTTGTTTTGTGTCCTAACATGGTCTATCCTAGAAAATGTTACATGTGCACTTGAAAAGTATGTATATTCTGCTGCTTTGGCGTGAAATGCTCTGAAGATGTCAATTAAATCCATTTGATCTAGTGTGTTATTTAAGGCCACCGTCTCCTGTTGATTTTCTGCTTGGAAGATCTATCCATTGAAGTCAATGGGGTGTTAAAAATCCCCAACTATTACTGTATTTCTGTTGATCTCTCATTTTATGTCCACAAGATTTGTTTTGCATATTTAGGTGCTCCTATTTTGAGTGGATAAACGTTTATTAGGCTTATATCTTCTTGCTGGCTTGTTCCCTTTATCATTATGTAGTGTCCTTCTTTGTAGCTTATCTTGGTTTTAAAGTCTATATTGTTTGATATAAGTACTGCTACCCTAACTTTTTTTCTTTGCCATTTGCACAAAATATCTTTTTCCATCCCTTTTATTCTGCGTGAATTTTCCAATCTGAGATGGGTCTCTTGGAGGCAGCATACATATGGGTCTTGTTTTGTTATCCATTCAGCTACCCTATGCCTTTTGGTTGGAGCATGTAAGCCAGTTACATTTAAGGTAATTATTGATAGATATGTATGTAGTACCATTTTATTGTTAAACTCTCTGTTTTTTCTTACTTCTCTTCTGAAGGCAAGTCCTTTAACATTTGTTGCAGTACTGGTTTGGAGTTAATAAACTACTCTAGTTTTTTGTCGGGGAAGCTCATTTCTCCTTCAATTTTAAATGACAGTCTTGCTGGGTAAAGTAGGCTTGGTTGTAGGTCCTTGCTTTTCATCACCTTGACTATTTCACACCACTCCCTTCTGGCCTGAAATGTTTCTGATGAGTAATCAGATGACAGTCTAATTGGTGCTTCCTTGTAGGTAACGACCCGCTTTTGTCTTGGGGCTTTTAGGATTCTCTCCTTGTCTTTAAGCCTTGTCATTTTAATTATGATGTGTCTTGGTGTAGGTTTCTTTGGGTCCAACTTGTTTGGGACTCTCTGAGCTTGCTGGACTTGCATGTACTTTTCTTTCACCAGATTAGGGAAGATTTGGTCATTATTTCTTCAAATAGGTTCTTGGTCTGTTGCTCACTCTCTTCTCTTTCTGGTATTCCCATGATTATGCTTCATGTTGTCCAAAATGTTTCTTAAGCTCCCATTTTTAAAAAATTTTTTTTTCTTTTTGCTGCTTTGCCTGGGTATGTTTTTCTACATTGTTTTCTAAATCACTAATGCAATCCTCTGCTTCATCTAATCTACTGTTCGTGCCTTCCAGTGTATTATTTATTTCAGATATTTCATTCTTTATTTCTGACTGGTCTTTTATATGGTTTCTATGTCTTTTTTCCATGCTTTCGAGCATCCTTATAATCATTACTCTAAACTCTCTACTTGATAAATTGCTTATTTCCATTTCATCTAGTTCTCCTATTTAAGAATTATCTGGTTCTTTCATTTTGGGTATGTTTCTTTGTCTTCCCATTTTTGCTGCTTCTTTGTATTTTCCACCTTAGCTCCTAAATTAATTAGTCACTGAACTGATCAGCTGTTAATCTAATCAAGCTGTGACTGGCAGTTCAGCTTAAGCACCATAGGGTGGAGCAGAATAATTACTGCAGGTGGGGCTATTGCTTCCCCTTAGGCTGATGTAACTTGGAAAGTAGAGCTCTGCTAATGAAAGATGGCTCCTGCAGTATGGGAAATGGCTCAGCACATGGATCCTTGGGGCTGTTCCTTCAGTTCTCTCCCCAGAGCCACCAACCCCCCATTCTCCTCAAGCATCTCTAGTCTGCTCTCACTCTTCCCTCCCTCTGGCAGAGCCCAGGGTAAGTGGCTACAAATGAAATTTTGTGTGTTAGCCCTTTAAGAGGCTCTCTGGGTCTCCCACTGTCTATCCATGGCTGATAGAAACCGTGCTGTTTTTCACAGCTGGATGGTGCCTGGGTTCCTTTCTGGCTCTGGTACTATAGGCTGGGGAGCCCAGCTTGGGGTTTAGACCCCACACGTCTCACGGGGAACCCCCAGCTGCTGAAATAACCCCCGAGCTCTTCAGCTGCAGCACATGGGGAGCCGAGCCAGCCCTCTTCTGTCTCCACACTCCCTAGCAGAGCCACATTGTAGTGAAGTGGCTTCTTCTGCCTGTCTGTGGTCATAAGGCTTCTCTCCAGCTAGTGTTGAGTTGGCTATTCAGGATGCTGTCTCTACAGTTTAGTTGTAATTCCACATTGGTCCCAGGAAGAGGTTAGTGTAGCTTCCACTTACTCCTCCACCATCTTGGATCCTCTGCATTGATTTCATTATATAATTAATGTTATACCTTTACGGAGAGGCTCCAGTTGTGGAAATGTGCAGTCAAAGGCTCTTTTGCTAATGATTGCAACAAGTCAGCAGGAAAATTCTGGAACATTCTGCTCTGTAATACACCTAAAATAATTTAAGGACAAAGGAAATAATTGAAGCACAGAAAAAATTAAATACACTGAAGTCACTAATGCCAAAGAGAGGCCACTATTAAAACATAATCAAGACGACTAAGCAAAACACATTGTTTCCACAGAAGTGTTCCAGTCAATTAAAAAATTAGTTTAACATACAAATTCAAATATGCTCCATATTTAAGTACTTTTATTCTAGAACAGGGGTGTCCAACCTGTGGTCCACGGGCTGCATGCAGCCCAGGATGGCTATGAATCCCCCCCAACACAAAATCGTAAATTTACTGAAAACATAATGAGATTTTGTGTGTGTGTGATTACGTGTCACAATGTATTAAGTGTGTAGCCCACGACAACTCTTCTTCCAGTGTGGCACAGAGATGCCAAAAGGTTGGACATCCCTGTTCTAGAACTTCAATATGAATGACTAAAATTCTTCTGATATGCTAAATGGTAAGCTAGCCAGAGAGTAAGCAAGAGAATCCTGAGTTCTCTAAGTATCACTGAAAAACAGGTAAGATTTTCCACACATGTACATATTTGTTTTCCCAGGAAATGATGCAGAACTTTCAACATATTTTCAGAGGTATCTAGGACTTAAAAGGTTAAATATACAAACAATAAAGAAAAGAACATCAACCAGACCAAGAAATTTCTGTTCTGTAAATAGATCAAAAAAAGCAATCTACCTCTCTGAAGCCTCTAGAGTCTGACACACAGATGCAAATACCAGCAAAGGGATAAAAAATTCCTGATGGTGTTGAAGGCGCTGAAGCCAGCTGTCCCTGAATGAGGCCCTCATTCAGGACGCTACTGGCTTCCATCAGAATCCCAGCACCTCACTGAATGAAAGTGCCTCATTTCAGTGGAATGTATCCCTTTGTAAAAATCTGGGGTTTTACCACATATAACTGAAATTGACTGACCTAATATGTATACTTCCCACAGCGTTGTTGGGATGATTTAAGTGGGATGATGTGAGGAGGAGCTTTGAAAAGCATAAATCATTCAACAGGTTCCACATAAGACTTACTACTGCTTTCCATCTAAACTGCTTATGAGAACAGAATAGCTGGTAGTATTCAATTCTGAGGATTCAGAGATCAAGTAACCTACAAGAATTTTAACAGTGTGGTATAATAAACAATTTGTCTGGTTTTTTGAGTTCATGACAGGGAGCTTCTAATACCCTTGGACTTTCTTGAGGGATAGCAGTGTCTGTAATGCTAATGAGGTGACTCAAAGTAAGCTCCTCAGAGTGTCAGACTGAAGCTGGTCATCTGAAAAGATTAACACCAGGATTAGAGAAGGTTAGGATTCTGAGCCAGGGATGGGAGGACTAGGGACTGAGTTCAATTCCACAGCCAATAATTTAATCAATCACGCCTTTGCAATGAAACACCAATAAAAACTCCTAACATTGAAGCTCACTGACATGAGCCTCCCAGTTAGTGAACATACTGATACGCCAGGAGGGTGATGTGCGCTGACTCAGCAGGGAGAGGGCATGGAAGCTCTGCATTCTCTCCCACACCTCTTCCCAGGCATGTCCTTTATAATGAAACTTACCGTGCTTTCATTAAATACAGTGCTTTCCTGAGTTCTGTGAGTCATTGGAATGAATTACAGAACCTAAGACGGTTCATGGGAATCCTCAAATTTGTGGCCAGTTGATCAGAAGTGTGGGTGGCCTGGGGGCATGAATTGAGGTTAGCATCTGAAATAAGGGCAGTTTAGTTGGGGAGACACCCTTTAACTGTGGAGTCTACACTAATTCCAGGTGGTTCGTGCGAGAACTGAATTGCAGTACACCCCAGCTGGGGTTGAAATAGAGTACATAGCCAAGAATAAGTATTCTTATTATACTATAATAAGAATAGCTAACATTTATGAGAATTGTATTTAAAGTGCTTAGTACAGTATCTGGAAAACATAATCTTATTTAATCCTCACCCCCAAAAAAACCTTAAGAGGAAACTTTTTTACAAATCATGAAATTAAAGTTAAGATAGGTTAAATGATTCTGCACAGCGACAGTAGCAAAGCTAGAACTCAAAACCGGGTCCAATTTTAGAGTTTTAGCTATGCGCGGTCCTGATAACACTGGAAGCAATGAGTTATCAAAATTTAAAATTCCTTAAAAACCATCCTCATAATTTGAGTACAAAAGTGACCATTCACATCTTCAGTCTATGTAAATAATTTAAAATGTTTTTAATTGGAAATTTTATTTTTATTTTATTTTTAATTTCTTTTTATTGTTCAAGTACCGTTGTCTCCATTTTCCTGCCACCATTTTGCCCTGCCCCCCCCACCCCACCCCCTTAATCCTTCCCCACTTTGGCTTTGTCCATGGGTCCTTATACATGTTTTTGTACATATATACATGTATTTATATACATGTAAATAATTTAAAAATTAGTAAGTTTTATGAGCATTTTTAAAAAATCCTCAATTGAAGATATGTTTATTGACTTTAGAGAGAAAGGGAGGGTGAGAGAGAGACAAAGAGAAACACTGATGTCAGAGAGAAACACTGACAGTTTGCCTCCCGAATGTGCCCAGACCGAGGATCAAACAAGCAACCTAGGTATGCGCCCTGACTGGGAATCAAACCAACCTTTTTGGTGTACAGATCGGGTGGTGCCCTGACTGAGCCACCTGGTGAAGGAATGAGCATAAACATTTTTACTTGATAAACTACTTACTAAGCCTGCCCAGTTAATATTGTGAAAGGGTTGAAAAGAGAATTCTTACCTCCAGTGAAGTTCAGTGGCATTGCAATTCCATCAGTATTTGTGTGGATTAATAAGTACTCTCCGCTGGCCAGATATGAAAGCTCTTGGAACCCAAGGCACGTACCCCACACAGGAAAATAGTCTCCATCATCAAAACTCTTTGAAAGAGAAAACTAATCTTATTCAAACTTTTCAAAACAAAAATTATACATTTGGTATGTCATTACAAGGGAAGCTCCTGAGTTACATAAGGATTTCTCAAGAATTTTCCAGGTTCCATAAGTAGGCTATCAGTTAACATCTCTTCAGACCAAGCTCCTACATAATAATTCAGTTTTAATCAACCAAACCATCCAACCACAGTTGTGCTGGGAAAGAGACTGACATCTGCCAGTCAACTACCAAATAATACAAATAACCATTAAGGACAATAAATATCAAAGACAATGCTTGAGAAATGCCTTTTTTCCTTACATAGTCTTTACTGACCAAGTAAGTATATCAATAAAAACGGGCACAAGGCAAGCAGCAACATAAAATAAACTTGAATAAATTTCCATACAGGAAGACACAGCACATGTAGCCAAAACAAATATTTCAATAAAAACTAGCACAAAGTGCAGAAGTAAATTATTGCATTGGAAAGAATGCCAATATCATAGTCATATGGGCAATTAAATCAAATTGTTCACAGAATAAATCTTTTAATCTTGTTGCTTGGATAATTGTCTGGTTTTAAACACACCCCTTCCTCCATAATCTCAGAATACATGCTAATAGCTGCATTATACCACCTTCAGCTAATTAGAATAAATTAGGTGAAATCCATGATCTGGAAGGAAAGGAACAGTCAGTAAGGAAAAGGCTAATAAGCAAAAGGAAAATAGATTTGTATAAAGCAAAAGTTGTCAACTGAAAAAGCACAAAGGTACTGGGTTTCTTCCATGGAAGTCGCAACAACTAGCATGGCTGGAGAAAAGTATTCTAGCAACTGAGTTTTCTGGTTAACTGTGGATTAAAACCATATGCACTGATAGTTACAAAAATGAGTTTTGTAACTTTTCTAAAAACAGCTATTTTCCCGCATAGGCTGTAAAATATAACCTAATGATAACTCATTTTAAATAAGGAAATTCTTGGGGAGTTTTTTCTGTTCCTTACTGAAAAAAATAGAGAATTACATTATTCCTCTACTTTCTATTCCAAGGTAGGATTTTTTTTAAAATCCTCACTTAAGGATATTGGTGGGGGTGGGTGTTGTTTGTTTTTGTTTGTTTTTTTCTTAGAGAGGAAGGGAGAAGAGAAGAGAGAGAACATCACCTTGAGAGGGAAACATTGATCTATACTACAATCCCTGACCAGAGATCAAACCTGCAACCTAGGTCTGTGCCCTGACCAGGAATTGAACCCGCAACCTTCTGGTGTACAGGACGATGCTCCTACCAACCCAGTCATCCAGCCAGGGCCCCAAGGTGGGCTTGTTAGCATTTTATCTACAAGTCTGAAAATTTTATTTTTAGAAATTAAAATTGTATACAGTAAGTTGAAGGATCTTACTGCTTTTACTTATAAAACATAACAGAGGGTTTAACTGTTCTGTCTCCATATGTACCAAATACAATTTCTCAACTAAATATTTCTCTCCACTTGCTGGAACTACGTGTTTTATTTGCTGTGATTCTCTACACAGTCTAGCAGAGCAGAGGACTCAGAGGGCAACTGAGTAGGTCTCATAATGACAATCTGGTGGACCCCAGTGTCTAGAGCTAAAAAAGAAGTGCGATGTTGCTAAGCTTTTTCCTTTGTTTTGAAATCTTTAAGAAGCTGATCATAGTTTTTTAAAAAATAGATCTTTTGAGTCTTAGAAGTTATGTGTCTTTTTTTTTTTTGTTTTTTAATTGAACAAGCTGGTTACATGAGTCTCTAGAAGGAAAATGAAGAATGACTAGTTATAATGTTCATATATATTTCTCAGATTCACTTTAAATCATATAAAATTTCAATTTTGTTCACTCATGGGTTGTTGTTTTTTTAAATCCTGAGCAAGTACTAAGCACAGGGAACCATACAATATGAAATGAGGAACACCTCAAAGGGTGTCAGAGCCATGAAATCAGACGAGACATGAATAGCTAACTTCAAGATACTCTGTCTTCTGAGCTATAAGCCCCTTAAGGTCACAGACCCAGTCATAGTACAGAGTTGGAGCCAAATATGTGTTTGAACAATTCTACAACAAAATACTCCAACAATAAAGAGGGAGTGGGATGCCACTGCAGCTGCAGGAGGCAGAGAAATCTCTCAAGAACAGAACCGTAGGCTTGACAGACAGTGAAGATGTACATCAGGGCTGGAGTAGGAATAAGCAGACCAATGAGGTTCACAAGTACTGTAGGAGGGCAAAAAGGCTGCTGGGAATACCAACCTGCCTTCAATTACTTGCAGCTGCAAAGGCCGAGAAAGGCGGGCTGTGGACACACTATACGTCTTCACCAAAAGGCTATGAAAGACTATTGGTAATTTAGACTAGAAATGCAGCTTTTTAGCGATATATTTAGTGGGGGAGGGAGGAGATACCGGGTCCAGCATTATTAAGTAACACATTGCTGTTAACAGTTCAGGGGAGAAACAGTAAGGGTCTGAGCTAAGGTGCAAAGGTATGACATTACAAAGGAGTCAAGAGGCTCTGCCTGGGAACTGAAAGTGAAGCCAGGATAACTGTGAAGAAACACCAGCGAGGCTGGAATAGTTGGAGAAAGAGCGTATTTCAACAGATGAAAATTAGTAACATATGAACAATGCCCAGTACATAACAAAAGCAGCTTATTAACCCAGCATGAGGAGCTGGTCCACATTAGTGAGCACAAATAGAGAGAGCCTGTCAGCAGGGCTGTGAGGGTCCCGTGGAGCCCAGAATTCAATTAAGTAGAAAGTGAGCGATAGCCGCCACTAGCTGCTCAAGAGAGGTGCCTCGAAGGAAAAGGGGTGATGAGGCTAGGGTTAACTGTGCAGGAAATAGTACCATAAGCTTGAAAAAGGAATTATCCCATTGGAAAATTACAAAAACCCATCTGAAATAAGAAGAAAAAACTGATATTTACCTGTATGGCAAGGTTGTAAAATGTTTTGGCTGCGCGAGCATAACCTGACTCCCTGATGTTAGCACTTCCTCCAGGGAAAAGGACCCTGAAACAACATCGAATAGCGGTGCTTTTCAACCCCTCCCCAACAGAAACCAAACAATCTTTTTATTTTAAAACAACTTTTTCCTTATTACATAGCGGAAAGATCATTACAGAAAATGAAAAAAAAATCACTATGGCAACAAAATGAAATATTTATAATCCTACCCATTTGTAAATTATTGCAGTTAAGAATATTTTTGAGCATATTCTTCCAAAACTTCTTTGATAAACAAGTTTTTTTTCACATGAATAACTTAAAGGTAAATAAATGGCGTAGGGGGAAGGAGAACACAGAGCTAAAAATCAAGTAAAGACAAAACTGCAAGCACAGGAAAGTTTAAATTAAGGTGATCCATGATGCCAAAATCAATGAAAGTCCATAATCATAAGTCAGTTTTGGCTCACAAAGAATTTTTTCCTAACCAGATAGAACAAACTGATCATAAAAATATATGTAGGTTAGAATTAAATATCCACGAGAATTTAATTTTTTATTACCAACTTGTACTGCTTCAGAAATAAGCATGAGATTAGAAAATTTTGAAAAGAACACCATCACAATTCTAGAACAAGCAGAGGGGACAAAAAGAGGAAGTAACAAACATTTTATTTTATTTTATTCTACACATAAAGGTGACATATAGAAAAATATTTACTATGTTTTCATATCATCTTTTTAAATTACTATAAATTTTACATATTAGAACAGGTCTTGAAATAAGGATAGTCAAAAGAGATTATAAAAGATTAAGTGTATTCACATTTTGAGAATACTTAAATATGAACTTGAGATATGTGAAATTGCACTTTTGAGATGGTTGGTTCTACTATATTCAACTCCTTGAGTGAGCCAGGCTCAGAATTAGCCTGGAGAGCCAAAGGCGAGTAATTTTTGCTATTAGTAAAATCATAGTCTAATAGAAAGCATATAAACTATGAGGTGGAACGCCTGCCACAAAACCATGCAGAAAACCCTACAATTCAAAGTGGATTAATGAAGACTCATTAGCAGTTCCCTTTTCATTGACGCACTATTTAAAAAGCTGCCTCTGATCAAATTTAATGAGTTTACCCACACAGTCCTTTTCATAACATAAAGCCTGACTGTCCCTCTCAGCTGACAAACTCCTTCGAAGTCAGGCTCTGCCTTTTACCTCTGTGCACGCGCATAGCAGGATGAGGTCTGCTGCATCACAGCGCTCAGTAAAGAAGCTTCTGCGGTTGCACAGAGCACTGCCTGGGGCACATGTTGAGGTTCTATCGCATATTCTAGCCTGGACTTACTTATCTTTGTGCCAAAAGACTCTTTACATAATGGGCATTTTTAATGTTTTACTACATTTAACTGATTTTATAGTAAACATTAAACCAAATTGAACTGAAGACTGAGGGCAAAAGATTGTTTTGAACACAGCCGTTTTAAAAAGACAGTAGTAAATAAGCAGCTTTAAAAAGTTTTTTAAAAAAGGTCTTTTTATAAAAGCTTTACAGTGAAGTAGATTCCCTCCATCTCACTCCCAATCGGAAACAACCACTTCTAAAGTCGGCTGTGCTGACCTAACAGATATGTGTTACGCATACCTCCTCACCACCACCTTAGGAACCAAAGTAAGTGGGAGTATACTATACACACCATTCTTTGCTTACTTTGTATAATAATATCACATTGCTCAGGTAACAACAGTCATCCGAAGAAGCATCTGCAGATATCCTCATTTTTAATCTGTCATAACAGTCCAACATACCCAGTCTTCTTTATTTACCCAATTCCCAACCAGTGGACTCACGGGTGGCTTGGAAACTGAGTCTATTTCAAACAGTACAATGCATACTGTTTGGACCCAACTCTTCACACGTGGTGGTGGGGAGATACATTTGTAAAATAAAATTACTTGTGAAGGATTTCCTGGCTCAAAGGGTTAGTGAATTTTTAATTTCAATAGTTATTGCAAAACTGCCTCCAAAGAGACCATATAACTTACACATCCCTAAGTATGAGAATACTTACTTGTTTCCTCACACCTTCACCATACAATATTAGCAAATTTTCTGATCTTTGCCAACTTGATAGTTTTTAAAAAGGGTTTTTAATTGCTATAATTAGCTTTCTTTTAATTATGAGTAATGTTGAGCGTTTTTTCATATTATTGAAAACTGTTTTTCTTATGAGCTAATCAATCATCTTTTGTGGTAATGTCAGAGGACATACAACTTTTTCCCAAGTTCTCTGCAAATTACCTTCCAAAGAGAACCAATTAATATCCTTAAGCTTAGGACTTACAAATTCCCTAGGCAAGCAGTATGCCATGCCATTCAAAGTGGCTCCAAAATATTTAAGACATTTTCTTCTTTAAAATATTAAAGAAAAACTATGTCACACATTAAAAAAAGTCATGTAGATCTACTTTGTAACACTTATTTCCTAATCTTTCTTCTCTGTAGGATTTTTACATTTCTCAACAAAATAATTCTTATAAAAGAACTCAGAAAACCAATGGGACACCACTATAAGACAGTTACACAGAAACACGTGGAATATTTATTTGCACTTTCTGGCAAGAGCAGACTACATAGACCTCACACACTGTATCAGGCCAGTGCTGCCGACTTACCCATTAATAGATTGGAAAAGCTTTTCATATTCTTCATTTGTAAGATCAGGCCTGAAAACAAGAAAAACAGTAACAAAACATTTATTTCCCAAACCTAAGAAAACAGTCAGGCTCTAAAGGAAGTTACTACATTAATTTTTAAAAGCCAGATCAAAAATAATTCTTAAATTCTAGATAATATTACCGCTCTACCTCTCCAGAGGCATCTTTTCAAACTGCATGAAAACCACATAATTAATCCTTGATTTGCTAGTCAGACTAATAAACATGTTTTTCTGTGGTCTAATATAATTTAATATTGTAAAGTATATGTTCATATGCAAAATATTAAAAGCCATGAGGTTTGGAGATACAGAGAACAAATCAATGGTTGCCAGATGAGAGGGGGTTGGGAGGCTGGGTGAGAGTGTACAAATAGCTATATATAAGAACAGTCACAGGGATGTAAGCACCACATTGGGAATATAGTCAATATCGTAATAACTATATATGATGTCAGAAGGGTACTAACTAGACTTATAAGGGATCACTTCAAAGTTATATAAATGCCTAATCACTGCTGTACACCTGAAACTAATATAATATTGTAGATTATCAACAGTAGTTAAAAATGAAAAAAATTATTCTTTAAAAAAATGAGACTTAAGCACTGGTAATTTCTCTGCTAGCCAATTAGTATTTTTATGTAAAGTCTAAATGAAGAGATTTATAAACATACCTATCTTAACTACAGGCAGCTTTGGCAGATAAAAACAATACATAAAAAAGCCATGTCCCTGACTCACTCAACCCTCACCATCAAGTGCAAAGGTCTGGGGACTACTGTGTATTCAAAAGTCAGAAGAGTTGAGATCTAGGGACGGACTACCCGCCGATCACTGCAGACTGGCCTAATCTGCCAGGTAATTATTCTGAGGCTCCCTCATCAAATACCCCATGAAGACCTCCTAACAAATCACTGTGTTACTGATGCTTTTATTCCCTTCTCTAGAAAAGATGGATGGGATTAATCTGTGACAATTGGTTACAGCTTTTAATTAAGTCACAGCAAGATGGATTTGCTCTTCCAGAAGGTCAACAAAATGCAAGAACAAGGGAAGAGAGCATCCTGTTCATGAAACCCCTCCATTTAGCAGTCTAATCGTTCTGCAAAAGAACCACAAGGCATAATTCCCTCTCAGCCTGCCACAAAAGAAGTACACTGATGATCAAATATCAACCACAGCCCATTTTGGCCCCAGGGATGTTTTAGGAGGAGTCAGAGCACCTCTGACATTATTAAGTAGACACCTCTGATGCTCTGAACTCGGCTGTGCTTAGCCAGCAAACCCTCTGGGCTCTCCTCTAAGTCTAAAAGAGCTTTGCACGCTCAGTTCTGTTTGGAATTTATAATAATCCTTCTGGCAGACAGCCACTCTCTTACATGGAGAAAAGGTGGGTGGGGCCCTGACTTGAGAAGCGGCAGCAGGAAGAAATGTGAATTTTCCTGTTTCCAGTATTCTGCTAGTTCAATCTGCCCAAATTGTGCCAACAAAAAAGGGAACCATTCAGGACCCAGGAGCTTCCCCATGGACATTTAAACCAGGATGGGCAACCACCACCATCAGGAAACAATGGATTTAAGACCACTCAGCGGCACCGCGGGGACCCCCGACAGCTAGCGGTGCAGGCCAGTTTCACTCATTCCATTAACTCTAAATAAATGGCTCCCACATTGTCCATGACTGAATTTCTGACCCCTACTTTTCACTATTAAGGGCCTTAATTGTTGAATGTTGGGGGAGGGGACTGTCACAAACTCAAGTGCCTCGGAGTCCTGCCAGGGAAAACTGGCCAGGTCACATGCTTTGAACGCAGACGCGATCTGCATGTTGTCAGACTTCCTTGAAGCAAAAGAACCTCTCAATAATTCACTCTCTCTTTAACTACAAGAACTCAGTTGAAGCCTGGTAATGATGACAAATGACACAGCATGAAAAGGAGTGACAGGCATTGTCGCCAGTGAAGAGCACTTGCTCCATTTCAAATCAGCCCCAGGTAACTTTCTTTAAAACAAAAAAAGAGAGAGAGGGACCAGAAGTTCACACTTTTATGAAGTCTTCTGATTTGTAAATGTTTAAAATATTTTAAAATACTGTGTGAACAAGACACATTTTTGAGCCAAAAGCAGCCCTACAGGTCGCCACACACTCCCCTCAGGAGGAGGATGCTCTGTGGGTCCCCCTGGTCCCACAGGAGAATGTATGATGGCCTGAGAGCACCAGGCACAGAGAGAGAGGTGGCAGAAAGAAGGCCGAAGAAGACCACAGACAAACTTCTTTACCTATTCCAGACTTTTGTCTACATTTCCCATCCTACTCCTTTTCCCTTCTAAACTGCAGAAGTTGGCTCCCAGCATCCAAAATGCAAAAATGAACCCAGCATCATCAGTGTGGTCCTCTGTCTCACTCTACAATAGGTAACCCTTCTCAGGTTACTCTGGGAATTTAACTGCCATGTATTACATTATTTTTATAGGATCCTATGATTCTAACTACCAGCAAGTAGTTTAAAATGAACTTTGGGAACCCAGCCTGAAAATCAACCTCTATGTTGACAGTCACATTTTCAGTGTCTCTGTCATACATACCAGTATTTGGTGAATCATCAATTTCAAAACTTCCCCAGTTTCAAAACTTCTGTCTTTCCCTTCTATTTCTTCATGTGCCCTTTTTTCAACTAGTCATCCACATGTGGGGTGTTTTTTTTTAAATAACATTTACCTATCGATCCTACAACCACTGGTCTAAGAGAATCCCTCATCACTTCACAGTTAACCTACTACAACAGTCTCTGAGCTGGTACGCCTGCCTTCTGTCTCTCCTACTTCCCATCCATGCTATCAGCACTAATGTCCTAAAAGAACAGCTTGCACAAAATGCTTCTATAATGAAAACACTGCAACACTGCTCTGAAGAATCTCTGGAACCTATTCCTCAGCTCTACAACTCTGGTGTTATCTTGGTTCCAAGTAAGATTTCACTTGAAAAATTAGATCTGCTACTAAGGAAAGAATTAAAAGACTAATGTCAAAAGCAAATGTTCACCTTGGGGTAGAGACAGCCAAATGTAAAAGAACAAGCAAAAAAGACAATCCTTAGGAAGCAGAACATAAAACCACTTTGTGGTATAATTCTCTAAAGTGTAATATTTGCATTTTGATTACTCATGTTCCATTTGAACCATATTTTGGGGTATAGTTTTCCTAATGCAGAATTATTTACAAAAGTATGTTGCCCTGAGCAAAAAGTTGTATTTTATGTGTGAAATCACCTATAATGGATTAGATGGTGCTGCTGGAAGCTTCTAAAATACCCTTATTTTGGCTAATATTATTAATACTTACAAGGTTTTGTTTGTTAAAAAAATTCAACCCTTTCCAAATCAATATATGACACCAATCATTTTATTCTTACTAGGCCATTATACCACAAAACTAATATAGCTCTTTTGAAATTAAAATACCCGTGACTAATACTGAAGCAAAACTGCCGTATTGGTCATTTACAAGTCTTTAAAGTAGAATGTGAAGGTATTTCAAAAATCATCCTCGAAATTTCCTTTATGCCCTTAACTGTACCCTTATGCTAATATTACAAAATAAAGCTGGTAAAGTTATAGATTCTTTTCCTCCATTACTTTCATGATGTCTAATGAGGACCACCTTTTGGGGGATAAAGGGAACTATCACCTCTTCTCTATCTAACGCATATGACATACCTCTAAAGATGTTATAAACATAGCTTCATCCTTTAAACAATTTAGTGACAGACTTTAAGCCTCAGATCTGTGGCAAAAATCACATGCAACGTCACCACACTTAAAAGATGTAATCAAAAGAGAGAGCATTAATTTTAGAGATAAAAGCTAATTTTAAAAGTAAAACAGCAGTTTTTTTATTTATACAATGTAAAAAATATTGAATCATACCTTACTGGTACAACTCTTGCACCTGCAGACTCCAGATACTTTACATAGGATGCTGCGATATAGTATTTTCCCAAGTTTTTCATTGCCTTAGTAGAGCACTCTTGCATTAATACGCCTAAATTACAGAAAAAAGGGGAAAAAAGAGAAATTTTAGTTTCAATCAATTTCCTTTTTACCTGCTCAGAAACTAAGATACCACAGTAAAAATATCACTACAGTAGTCACCTCTTATCCAACGTTTAACTTTGTGAGGTTTTAGCTACCCCAGTGACCTGTGGTCTGAAAACATTAAATGGAAAATTCTAGAAATAAACAATAAGTTTTATACTGCCTACTGGTCTGAGAAGTGTGATGAAATCTTGAGCTGTCCTACTCCATCCCACCCCAGACATGAATCCATCCTTTTGTCCAGCATCTCCAAGCTGTAGATGCTCCCTGACCAGCAAGTCACTTAGTAGCTGTCTCAGTTAGTAGATTGACTGTACAGTATTGCAGTGCTTGTGTTCAAGTAACGCTTATTTTACCTAATAAAGGCCCTAAAATGCGAGAACAGTGCTGGCAATTCAAACATGGCAAAGAGAAGCTCTGAAGTGCTTCCTTAAGTAGAAAAAAGCTGAGTGGAGTACAATGCAATATTCTGAGAGACACCACATTCACGTAACTTTTATTACAGCACACAGTTGTTTCTTGGACATGGATTTGAACTGCATGGGCCCACTAACATAAGGCTTTTTTTCAATAAACACACGCTCAGCCCTCTTTATCCCCACACTCACAGGTTGAACCAACCACAGATGCAGAGGGCCAACTGGAGTTATATGTGAATTTTCGGCTGCATAGGACAACTGTATTGTTTACAACTATTTTATTGTAAGTTATTTTTGCTAATCTCTTACTGTGCCTAATTTATAAATTAAACTTTATCCTAGGTATACATGTATATGAAAAAAAACAACAGTATATGTAGGGTTCAGTACTACCCACGGTTTCAGGTATCCACTGGGGGTCTTGGAATGTATCTCCCAAAGATACAGGGGTACTACTGTGCTTTACTCACTTAATTCACAGAATTAAATACAAAGCTTCTCCTGCAAGTACACAGACTTTGGGAAAGAAGTAGTGGAAGCTGATCTGAGCTTTAAGTAGCCTTCTCTCTCTGCTCTCATCTGGGAGGCCAAATAAGCCCCTAAAGCAGGGGTACAATCGCACCAGCCTCAGACCTAAAACAGATCTCAGAGTTACACACAGATCCTTAAATCTAGTAGGAGGCCTCTCCCTTCCCCCACACACTCGAAGACACACTGTTTCCTTGACAACAAAGCAAGACTGGAAATATCTTCCGTCCACCTCTCTCCAACATCAGAAAAACGACCTCAGGCCAAGCAGCATCCCCCGAGGCTATTATAATAGCTTCCTAAAAGGTCTCTCCACATCCTTTCTTAAACAACACCCACCATCTCCAACCAGTTCTCCACATGCAAAGAAATCTGATCATATCAACATTCATTCAACACTCATCCATTCATTCATTTATTCACTTGGTATATATTTCTGAATCAGACTATATACCAAGCACTGAGCTAGCTGGGGCAGACACATAAGTGAATAAAACAAAAATCACTGCCCTGTGGACTTTAATGCTAGCATGTGGGAGGGAGTGGGGAGGAAATGTACAATAAATAAGATAAAAAGGTAAAATATATACTGTGTTGGCTGGTGGTAAGTGGTAGGGAGAAAAGTAATGCAGAGGAAGAAGCTGTGTGTTTGGGGGTGGGTGTGTCCCATCTATAGACAGAAAGGGAGTATCTTAAATACGCTTGCCAGGCAAGTTGTATTTAAGACAGTTGGCCCTCTGCATCTGTGGTTGGTTCAACCTGTGAGTGTGGGGATATAGAGGGCCAAGTGTATGTTTATTGAAAAAAAGCCATATGTAAGTGGGCCCATGCAGTTCAAATCCTTGTTCAAGAACCTGAGAAGACAGAACATGACATTTGATCCAGGAGTTCAGAGTGGTGACGTAACCAGCCCTATGCCAATATCTGGAGGAAGAGATATCCAGGGTGAAGGAACAGCAAATGCATAGGTTCTGAGTCAGGTGCCTGTGTATGTGCCTGTCACATTGCAAGGAGTCCATAAGACCAGAGCCCTGCATAAGCAAGGGGAAAAAGCAATACAAAATGAGATCATTGAAAATGAGAGATAACAAATCAGCAGGGCGTACCTTCTTGCTTAAGCACTTCAATGGGTTCCAAAACTTTCATAAACATTACAAGACCCTGTGTGTGCTCTGCCCCACCTGTCTCCCTGGCTGCCTCTTACAACTGAAATTTCAGCCTCATCAGGGTACCCGGTCACATCAAAACACATCTATCTGAAGAGTACACCTGTGCCCATGCCAGTCACTACTCCACCATTTGGAATGCCTTCCATGACTGTGCAGGCCACATGAGACATCATTCCCTATTCCCAACTTCTTAGGACATCTGGCATTTTATCAGGCACTGAGTTAACATATACCAAATGCCAAAATGTGTTCAGTAAGGTGGTTTTTCTCCCCATGGATCAGTAAGATCATCCTGACTGGAGAAAATGAAATTTGGTAGAGAAAGATTTAGGGAGTGTCATAGGAAATGGAGGGATACAGGGCAGGCAGAGGTCAGGGGCCACAAAGGAGGCTTGGGACATGTGAACACAAGGTACCAGAAAAGAGAAAAGTATGTACATGAGAGACAGCAGGTAAGTTCCACCAGCTTATGCCCCTTCCATTGCCCCACACATACTCACCTTTCTGTCTTGGGAAAAGAGCCCAGGCTATATTCCCAGCCCCTCAAAATAAGACCAAAATGTCACACATACTTTAAAGCCATCTCACAATTTTTGTGGCTTCCTTGTTTTTGAATCATTTGCACTTCCTAACTTAATGCTTTGCACATAGTAGGTGTTCAGTTAACTATTTTGTCTTAATTGATCAGGTTGCCCAAAAGCATACTCACTTTTTCTATATTCGACCCTGGACTACCACTGTTTCTAAGAAAATGAAAAGAAATTCCCTCCTCTTTCCTTATTTCCTCTTCTGTGCACCCACAATTCCCAGCACACTACACAGAATTATATTTTGAATTAATTCTCCTTGGAGAATATAACTTCTATTTTAAAAAGCTATGAAATAAGATGTTATGTTGATACACAACCAACCCATTTGAAAACTGGGCACTACCAATATAAATGAAAACATGCTCATCTACTTTGTATTTAGTTACAAAATACAGTTCGTATCTTAGTGGAAGGAAAAACAGTATAAATGGCATAATGTTAAAGCAAAAATAAAACCAATCTTAATTATCAACATAAATTACTTCTGGAAATTTTAATTCCAGGCTCACTTCCCCTGGGTAGCTTCCCCTGCCCTGTCTCAAATGTCTGTTATAGCAGGGCAAACGGGTTTTACTCTTTTTAAAAGATAAATTTGTTGGAAACAAAAAATTACATGCTTCATTTTAACACCAAACAGAATTAACATTAGGATCATACTAGCCACTGCTGCCCTCCACTGCTCAAGAACGCAAAGTCCAAGGCACATACCATAATTTCTTGAGTACCTGGTCAACTCGATTTTTATATGTACAATGCATTGTACCTTGAAATATGTCCTACCAGTGAAATCCTAATAAATATAATGCATGTACAGAACTTGTTTAATTAGTGGAAATTCCTCTCTGTGTGCAAAGAACAAGTAAACCTTCAAGGTTCTTCGGAGCTCCCTCCTCCCTCCCAACTCCAAAGCCATCACTGAGGCATCAGCTGTGTTTCAGCAGGACTCAAACCGGGTCTCTCTGCGGTTTTTGTGCTGTGCACGTGGCTACACATCGCACCTCAGTTCTTAGGTGTTCCCCAGACCAGATCACTGGCTGAAGCTCGCAGCAGGAGGTGCCAAGGGCCGACACCGGCCCCCCGCCCTTCCTTCTTACCGATGATGGGCTTCTCGGTGTTGGAGGCACGGGAAGCGTACAGACGGGGGCTCGCCGCCACGCACAGCAGTAGGCCCAGCAAGGACAGCAGGCGGCTGAGGCTGGCCATGGCGCTGGCTGCCTCCCGCCGTCTTTCAAAGGCACTGCGGGCGGGTTGCAAGCAGCTGCGACTACAGGTCCTCCGGCGGCTCGCGGGCGTCCCGCACAGAGTGGCACTCCACCTCCACCGCGGGGCACTATGGGAAATGCAGTCCCGCCGCGCCCGTGCACTGCGGCTGCGGGGCGGGGGCGGGTGGCTCCGGGGGCGTGGTCGCTGCGCTGGCCGCCAGGCTGAGCAACGTTCCTGCGAGGTAGCGACTCGCACGCCCGCTGGGCAGCCCTTGCAGAGGCACCGAAAACGGCTGGGTGGGCACGGGGTGGTCTCCGTATCCTCGGATCTTCCCTCTCAACTGTTAAACGACGTGACAGAGTCACCTGCAACTAAGCTGGGGCCCCCAGACCGAGCCCTGGAAAAGGATCCTTGGGTCCCGGCTGGACCCTGTCTGGTAACCAGGCTGCAGGGGAGGTTGGAAGGAGATTCTACAAAGCGACTGAGACCTTTGCGCCAACCATAGCTCCTGCCCAAAAGGCCAGAGCTTTTGCGTTAGGAGTGCTGACAGCCTCGCGGACACCGCGGCGTTGGATATAAGGATAGGCAGTGACTCCGCAGGTGATTTCCACATCCTGCTATTTCTTTGTAGGGTTGAGGCATCTGGAGGAAGGAAGTACCGCGAAAGGGAAGGTAGATGGCCGGGCACGAGTTCCAATTCGCATCGCCTCACTTCAGAACTGGATCAAGGAAGGACGGACTCCTGGTATACCCTGCAAAGTGGCAAGTCCACGCCAAGCCCTCAGAAGACGCTTATTGACGTCACTGTTAGTGCCAACCGCAGACTTTGTCCTATGAAAGAGAGGCAGGCATGATGGCTTTGGTTCCAGTTCATTAAAAGTATTTTGAGGGTTCTGTTTAAAATTTTAAAAGAGATGTGGAATCACTCTTTTCATGGGGAGTAGGAACCTTTTCCTCTGTGTGTGAAAACCTAGGTGTATAGATGCGGATGGTATAAGGTGGAACTTTCCACCTATAAGGCCCAAATTAAATTCAGAATAAAATTGAAGAAGTGGATTTGAAAATCTACTCAATCACTACTAAGTACTGAAGATGCAAAAATGAATTGGACAATGTCATTTTCACAAGAAGTTTACAGTTTAGTACAGAAAAAAAGTAGAGAACATGACTTAAGGAAAGAATAAGAGCATAGTTTTGGCATATTTCAAGAAGAGTGAATGCAATAAGTAGTCTGGTTTGACAAGAAAATAATGCTTCTGTAGAAGGGTGTGGTTAGAGACAAGGCCAAAGAATGTGTGGTGAAAGGCCTTATCTAACCAGCTGGTTTTGAACTTAACTGAATAGACAAGGAACCTTTGTAAATACATATTTGTGATTGTGGAGGACAAATCCACATAGAAAAAAATTAAGTTATTACCTGGTATTATACACGAAAATAAACTCCAGGTGACTAAAAAATGTAAATGTGAAAGGCAAAATAATATACTTTGATAAGAAAATACAGAAGTGTATATTCATGGTGCTCAAAGGATTAAAAATACAAATGTTAGTGGGAAAAAGTGATAGGTTTAATGATACAATTTTAAAACCTCTATATAACTTTAATCAAAATTAAGGCACAAACTTGGAAAACATGATTACAAAATATAGAGTTTCAAAAGTGTTCATTTCTAGAATATGCAAAGAACTAAGAAAACAATAATCCAATATAAAAATGGAGAAAGAATATGAAGACAAAGTAAACCTTCATTAATCATCAGGAAAATGCACATTAAGATAATATGTCACATCCATCAGATTTTCAAAAATGTAAACCTTAATTATAAGAAGGGTATAGAAAAATGAGAATTCTCTTAACACTGCTGGTAGAGCTGTAAATTATTACAACCATTTTGATAGCAATTAGGCAACTCCTGGTAAAGATGGAGATGCGCATATTCTGTAACCCAGCAACTTTTGGTATATGTAGGTATCCTAGAGAAATGCTTGCATGTGTGAACAAATTTATGCAGGAATATTCTTTGCAGAATTTTTTTAATAGTGAAATACTAAATGCAATGTAAATGACCATAAATAAGAGAATGAGTAAATAAATTATATAATTAATAGACTACTGGAAAGCATGAAAATGAATGAATTGGAGCTGTTGATCAACAAAGTTCTATTAATAAGAGATAATATAGGTAAATTATGCTTGGGTCTAAAGAATAATGTCAACTGCCTAAACTAGAATCTCTCCACAGATCTTCAAAAAACCATTAGATGTGAAAGGAATACAAATGAAATTACACATGATCCATGCCTTCAGCAATAATAGGAGACAGAGGACACCACAAACTTCAAATTACTAGAAAATTATTACGTACCAAACTGCAGCCAAGATTCCCCCACTGCTGGAAGACTGGCTACTGAGAACTGGAGTGGCAAGTCTTCAGAGAATCGTTGAGAAAGAAAAAAGGAGAGTGGAAGATATAGACAAAGCACAGGCAAAATCAAACACTGAAAGAAAAATGTCAAACATGAAGGGCTGTAATACTGAACGCAGTCTGGACCTAGGTAGGTTATAGTACTAATAATAGGAAAGAGGCTTGAAAATGATTGGGACCAGAATTGGCAGCTTCAGGTAAGTATTGCTTCTAAGGAAGAGTCAGCTTCAATGACAAGGGAGTAGTGTCCCTTAAAGATATGGCACTGAAGGGAAAAAAGGATACAAGGGGAAAATTAAGGACCCAGTAAGAAACAAAAAGTATGCCAGCCACCCTTCCTCATCCCCGTATACACACCACTGTCACACAAAAACATCTCAAGAAATTGCACTTCACTCTGCTGGCAGAATAAAACACACCTTTCAGCCAGAATGGTGTCCACAAAAGGCCTATTTTGAGAAAATCAAATCAACACAATACAAAACTATTTCAAGAAGAAAACATACAAGGTGAATTATAACATTTTACCTAATGCAAATTCTTCCTCAAAAATATAAAACAAAAAGTTCCAAATAAAAATTGAATATCCTCAAACAAGCATAGGATAAATATGTGTATGTGTATACCAACCAAATATATGTCAGAAGTTCAAAACCTAAGAACAGAAATGAACAAAAATAGGAAGGAATGACACAGATGTTTGTCAAATCAGAAAAAAAAAAATGTGAAGGAAAATACAAAACAATCTCAGAAATGAAGGCTAAATTACCACTGTCCGTCCAAGGCAGAAAATATTCAAGGGGAACATTGATCAAAATCAGTGAACAAGGCAAGGAAACAATCAATGAAATGAAAATTACATAAAGAAGTAAAACAGATCAAGAGAAAGTGCTTACAATGGAAAATAAGCAGAAAAGATTCAACACATGTCTTGTTAGAGTCCTGGAACAAGAAAAAAACAAAGTAATGAAACAGGACCAGTGTTTATAACTACAATCTAAAAACTTTGTGTAAATGAGAGAAAAATGGTAAAAATTGACCTGAAATTATTAACTTAGTAAAATTATTGAACATTAAGGAAAAAAATAATTAAGACCATCAGACAAATAATCAATTTATTTAATAAGGTAAGAATACTTCAAGAGCAACATAAAAATTAAGGCAACAATGGAACATCATCTCAAGAAAAATTCAAGCAAACTCTTAGTCAATGATTCTATATGCAGCTGAACTGTACTTCAAGAATGAGGACTATAGAAACAGTTTTTTTTTAACATGCTGTACCTGAGGGAATACTGTTCTCACATACCCTTCCTGGAAAACCAACTAGAAAACACTTCATCTAAACAAGAAATGACTAGGAAATTTTATCAAAATAACTGATAGTGAGCATTTAATATATTTAATGGCAGAACTAAGACCAAAATGAGGGGAGAAACATGGGTCAAAGAATAAATATAAACATATGTTCTTCCAAGTAGAAAAAATAGAAGTTTAAAAATGAGCGAAACATGGAGAGAGTAAGGGAAAAATAAAAGATCATTGACTGTGTACAGGTATAGGTGAGAGTCAAAAAGTGCCATTGAAAAACTGAACAACCACACAGAAAAAGTTAAGAAAGGAGACATAAAGAGCATGAAAGAAGGTAAAAATACCTATACCTATACACATAGATATTAGATGGATAAGGAGATATAGAGATTTATTCTAGCACAGAGATACTACTGTAGGAAATAGAAATCAGTGAAGCTCTTTGTATTGTAATTATGTAAGACTGGCAAAAGAAATTGAGAAATATGAAGTACATGATTTGATTGTCCCATGGCACATGGGCTGAGTTCTAGGAAGCTGTTAGGAAAGGCAGAATGAAACATTCAACTGTCTTGCAGAGCTTAGGAACTCAAGTTCCATCAGAGGGAGAGAACCTGCAACAAACATAGCAGTTGTTCTCCTCCTCAAAAGATTTGCCAGATTTTGAATTACAGAGAGAAGGAACTAAGTTTTATATCTACATAAGAAAGAACAATCAAAGCTGAGAAAAAAAGAGAATGTCCTGGAAAGCAATCAAAAGCCCAAATAAACAAAAGATAAACTGAATCTTACTAAATTTGCATCCCAGCTCAATAACTGAATTGACTAGACTTGTTCTCTATGACAAAAGATGGGAAGAATTATCACTGATGAAAATATTACCTGAAACCTCCACAGTTAAATATAATGTCCAACAAACAATAAAATACTAAAATTCTGTAACAGTAATTTAAAAAGAAAAATAAATGAAAGAGCTATAGATAATCCCAATATTGCAGTTAGAAGACAAGGCTTTTATTTTAAGTAAAATGTGATTATTTAAGTAAAATTAAAAAAAAGATGGGCAAAATGGATGAGATATTTTCAGCAAATAATTGGAATCTATAAATATTTTTTAATTCTAATGTGTCTTAAGGATAATATCTTCTTGTTTTTTTTAACAATTCTAACTGCAAGACATTACACCATAAGAGGATCCCATTTTACTAGCTTGTTCCTAAAACTAAACACTATAAATTAGCTAACAAAAATAGCTAAACAAAAGCTTTATGATGAATTCTGCAAAACAAAAATCAAAAGCATGCACTTGGAGTAAAACAAATTGAATTTTTAAAAAGTC